TGCAGAAAGCTCCATGTGGATGCACCACTCCCCTGTCACTCCTCACCTCTGTAAAAGATGTTTTGGGTCTTGTATGTGAAGAACCTTCCTGACGCCCTCCATGAGTGAAGGGCTGGGGACAGCTTAGGCGGAGGGATGTGCAGGTAGACAGCAAGGAGGGGTACACTCAGCAGCCCCACCTGAATCCACCACTCTTTCATCCTGCAGGAGAAAACAAACTCAGAATGAGCAAACACAGCATGATCTGCCCATCTGAAAGACTGCACAGTTGCATTAAGCCTTCTGTGTCTGCCTCACTGTGACACACCCCACTGGTTTAGTTTGAAAGCTCTGATTACCCAACATTCCCCAGGAAATTCACCCTCAAACCACATCTTTCCACCAGTGTGTTTTCCACCTTCTCAAGACACCAAGATATATTAGTCTTGAAACCTTTCTTTCTGCTGCTGTTAAAATTGACAGCCTTCCACAAAACTACTAGTAAGGGAATCACAACTCAGACCAAAACTAAGCAGTTTTGTAGCAACCATAAGGCCAGAATGACTGCTCCCAGGGTTATACAGTCCTTTTCTGATCAGTAGTGCAGTTCTGTACTTCATAGGATTTTCAACCCAGGTTGGCAACAATCAAAGGTTTGCCTGTTTGGTATTCTTCTAGGCATTTCCATCATGTTCATCTCTGTGCCTTATATCACAGGTAGCCTGCGTGAAATGAGTTTGGTGTGTCAGTCAAGTTCTTAATGGTCAAGTACATAACATCACCACCTTACAACATCCATCAACCAGATAAGTGCCAATTTTAGCCTAGAGACCAAGGACTCAATGGGCTATGAAGATAACATGGTCCCCTAACCCCTGGTGGCTCCAAATCTGGTGTTGGAGGCACACATGTGGAATGGTTCTGGGCAAGCTTGCACCACAACTGTATTTATTCTGGGGTTAGAGAGAGGACTGCCAAACTCCAGGACTGTCAAACCATCAGCTTCCACAAGCATTAAATTCACACACGGATTGTGAATCATTCAATTTTCTCAGTTACTCAAATCTCCACATTTTTGATTGTTCTCAAGTCAATGGGCCTTTTACTTCAATCAGAGCAGGATTGCCCTCTTTGTAACATCTACATTGTGTGACCATTCTGTATAATTGTAGAAATTCTATAAATATCACTTGAAATTATTTATCTACTTTGGGATCTTAACAAAAACGTCAGCCTCCAGCCACCACAATCAGCTCCCTCACTGGCATGAGAACTTAATTCACACATATACAACACTTAAAGAAAATCCTCTTAATAATGACATTCTTACAAAGGTGCTGGACTCCACCCTCAGTTTTGGATTTCACACAGACACCACACCGAAACAAAGAAAAGAAATGCACCAAGCACACATTGTTCTTCCGACTAGCAAAACCCTGGGCTAGTCCAGTTTTGCTGATTACTAGCCCACCCATACGGTCGATGCATCTGAGCCCTGACCGGCACCAGCCACTGCTATTCCAGTCCTGAATCCACACGCATGCATCTCAATCCTAATCTGCAGCACTTGATGTTATTCCAAATCCTGACACACACACACCCCCAGAGCTTTGCCCACACACCTAAATCTAGAGCGATTTGCAGCATCTCCTGTTATTCCAGCCCAGCTTCATACACCGCTCTACCAGTAAAAAGAACAGGAGTACTAAGGCGCCGCAAATACTCCTGTTCTTTTTGCGGATACAGACTAACACGGCTGCTCCTCTGAAACCAGCTCTACCAGTGCACATCAAGACTGACAGGGCAGCAGCCGGTGCTATTCATACTGGGATTTCCCATACACACTTCTTCCAAAGCATCTCAATGTTGATCTGCAATAGCCCATGCTACAGGGCCGGCCTTAGGGAAAACAGCACCTGGATAAACTTGTATTTTGGTGCCCCTAGCCCCAGTTGCCTTCCCAGGCTCCCCACTCGATCCCCACCCCATTGCTCCAAATTCCCATCCATGAATTTGCAATCCAGGCCCACTCTGCTTCTTGGCTCTTAACCACAGCACCGCCCTGACCACGTCACCCACCCGCAGGGCCGGTCTTGCCCTGCAGTGAGTCACATCTGGATGCCACAGTGACGGGCATCATAGGAAACCCCACAGCAACCCTTTGCCTCCCCCAGCCAGTGCTACAGGGAACCTTCATCTGGTTGTTGAGCAGGACAGCCAAGATAATATAGCAAGTGATCTGCAACACTCTGACAGGGTCAGCAGGCACTGGGGCAGTCGTACCTCCCCCCCCTCAGCATGGCATCCAGCTTCTCTGCCAGAGCCCCAGAGGGTCGGCAGCTCAAGGGGCAGCAGCACAGTGGCAGGAGGGCACCAGAGGGCTGTGGTGGCAAGGGCACATGGTGACTTGAGAGCCCCAGAGAGGTGGGAGGGAACCAGAGGTGTATAGATCGAATCACATTGGTGTGGGGATGGGGGGGGGGCGGTGACGTAGGGACTCCAGAAGGGCAGACCTCTCCCCACCCCAATACTGAGAATTCCCAATATTCAAGTACCCCTCCCCAGTCCCTGGGAAGGGGGTTATTGGGAGAGGTTAAAATGGTTGGGTGGTGATGGTGGAAGGTTCACTCCTGAAATATCTCCAACTCCCTGCACTAACACCTCTCTCTGGAATGAGTAAGATAAAGGGGGAGCCCCTGAGAGCTGAGGAGCATGGGGAACTGTGGGGTCACAGTGTGGCATACAGGAGGGGTACCTTGAAGACATGAGGGACACCCTGAGAAAAGGGGAGAATGGGGGGGCCCTGAATTGGGAGGCTGGGACCTGTGGGGCAGAGGGAGGAGCCTCCTGGGAGCTGTGTGGGCATGGAGGGGGGCTAGGAGCTGGGGGCACAGAGAGGAGTCCCCTGGGGCAGGCTAGGAGCTGGGGGCACAGGGATGGGTCCCCTGGGGGCTGGGGGTCAGGACCCCCTTAGACTTACTGGTCTCTTCTTTGCCCTAGAGTTTTAGTTCCCAGTCCCTTCCCAACCTGGAAGACGATGGTGACTTCCAGCTCCTGGCTTTCATTCAGGCCGCCCATGGAAAAAGGAACAGCGGGGCTGGGACAGTGGGGGTGGGAGTGGAGGGCAGAGTCGGTTTGCAGAGTGCAGAGGCTGGACTAGGAGCCAGGCTGAGAGAGACACCATGTGGGGCGGTGAGCAACGGTAAGCAGGGCCTCTGCTCAGGAGCAGGGTGTTCCTGCCACACCCTGCAGGCAGAAAGGGGAAGCCCAAGCCCCTTGCCTCTGCATCAGGAGGCTACTGCCCCCACTGGCTATGGTGCCCTTGGTGAGGGCCCATGTTGCCCTGCCTTAAGGCCAGCCCTGCATGCTGTTTCATTTGTATTACTGCACACAATTGCCATTGTGAAATAAAAGCAAGCAAACAACTGCAAGCAGAGGGATTGCAACAGAGAATCAGTTTTAACCAACCTTTCCCTGAAGGCTTTTCAGGACTATGGAGGTTTTGTTGAAGCTTCCTTTGTACCATCTGTGTGCACTTAGGATAAAGCAAAAAACACTGTTCTCTTTCACTTAAGGCTGCCCAAAGTGCAGCACATCAAAAATGGGACACAAAAGGGAAATGTAATTGTGATCTTTTTATTTAAGCCATCAACAAAATGCTAGAACTGTTATGTTGTTGGTCTTTTGAGCGAAAATAAAATCAGTCTTGCGTAAGGTTATATCACAGAACTGAACAATAAATTGCTTACATCCATTTAAAAATCCAGTGAGTTATTTGAAAGTGACCAGTACAATGTCAAATTACTCCTCAAAAACTGACACATTTCTGCAGGCTGCTTTCTCTTACGGCAGAAGTTAGGGTTGTAAACGTAAAGCTGCCAAAGACTATAGTCACAATATCTAAGCTTGGTTCTCCCCACACGTTCTTGGATCCTGTCAGCCAAAGAATCCTCTCAGCTTCCAGAGCGAGTCTTAGCCTTTCATTATTACATTATTCAATGTTACATGCATTCAGCAGAATCTACAAAAGGGTCTTAAAAATGCAAACAAAAGCATAAATAATTAATTTTACACAGACCCCAAACCAGACCCACACCGAGTTAGAGAGGCCCCTAGAGAGAGCCCCATGTTGCGGGGTCTCTCTGAGAACGCTAGTGTAACCGTGCAATTATAGCATTAATTATCAATAGGTCCCTAGTCTGTCCTGCACAGAGCTTCTCTTTACAACAGCAAGGGCTTAGTATTTAGCAAGAGAGAAAAACAAAATGCTGTCAGAACAGTTTGGGACGGGGCAAAGCCTCACCTCTCACTCCAGGGGGTACAGCCCTCGCCCACCCTCACCTCTGGGGGCAGGAGCACAGCCCCCCATGCACCCCTTCAGGGGGCCCAACCTCCCCCCAACTCCACCCTCACTCTGGGAGGGGCGAGAGCCCCCCCATGCACCCTCTCCTGGGGGCACACAGCCACCCCCTGACCCCACCCTCACTTATGGGGACAGGGGCACAGCCCCCCAGGCACCCTCTCCAGAGGTCACAGGCCCCCCCACCCCCACCATCCCCTCTAGGGGGCAGAGCAATTCCACCAGCCCCCCCCCCCCAAGCTATTAAGCCCCTCCCCCATACTCCTCCCCCTCTGGGAGGCAGAGCGTCCCCCCACTTTCCACGCCCCCTTTCCCGGGGGCACAGCCCCCCCCTCGACCCCATCACCGCCAGGGGGCAGAGACACCCCCATTCGCCCCTCCCCGGGACACAGCCCCCCCCCCAAGGGGCAGCCCATGTTCCGGGGGGGGCAGGGCCCCGCCCCCCAGGACAGAGGAGCCGAGCCTCGCCCCCGCTGAGGGGCTCCTGGGCGCGCGCGCGTCGCACCCCCGTTACCTGGGCTCAGGGGTGGGGGCGGAAGGCGGGTTCCATGCTGCTACAGGGGCGGTCCCCCCCCGGGCGTTGGAGTGCGCATGCGCGGCCCACCAGGCCGCCCATCCCTTCCATAGAGCCTCCCCAGCGTGGCTAGAAAGTCCCGCAACCAAGGCCGGGCGCCATCGACCCCTGCTGGGGCGCGGTGGTACTGCGCAGGCTTCTGCCGCTCTGGTTGCAAGGGGACTGCCCCCTGAATGCCTGATGCTGGTAACAGCTTTTCGCACTGGAAATCTATGCCATCGCTGCGGGTACAGCTCCTGGCGCGCTCGGCATGCAGGGCTTTTTCTGCATCTCTCGGCTGCTGCGGGTGTTTGCACGAGGCCTGCAGACTTTTGCCTGCATCCATCTCCTGCTGCAGGTGTTTGCATGAGGCCTTCAGATTTTTGCATGAATGCATCCGTCAGCAGCTGCAACTCTTTGCACTAGTCAGGCGGGCCTTTTCCTGCATCCCTCTGCTGCTGCAGTTCTGTGCAGTAGGCCTTATAGGGTTACCATGCGTCCGGATTCCCCCTGACATGTCCGGCTTTTTGAGCTAAAAATAGCATCGGGGGAATTTGTAAATGGCCAGACTTCCCCCAGGCGGAGAGGTCTAAGGCCTACTGTGCTGCAATCTGGCCGAAGAAGCTTACTGAGGGCGCCAAAA